GGATGGGCTCGAGAGTCTTAAATAAGTTATTGTTTATTATAAATAAGTTATTGTTTATTATCCTTCCCTTACAGCCATTTCAATTAAATTTATGCTGTCCATGGATGGTGAAAAAAACATTTTTTATGGCCATAAAGCATTTAATGGTTCAGCCCCATCCTTAATGAAAGAGCAATAACTCCTGTCTCTCCTGCTTGGTCACTAATCTGCCCCCTTTCTGGCAGGAGGGAACCCAAACATTTCAGAAGAGCTTCCAGAGAGGGTCTGACACTGAGTTTTAGGTCTTTGGTGTGTCACAAGTAGGAGCCTCTCTTTTCTTTGAGGGAAATGTGCCTGTGTAGCAGCCCTGCCTTGCCCAGGAGCTGGTCCCTTCCCCAGCAGAGTGACTGGGAGCCATTCCTGGGTGACCTGAACATCGGCAGGGACTGGGTCCGGGATTCTCTATTGTAGTTCAGCTGTGGCCATCAGGTGGCAACCTGATCACTGGGATCATCCTGAGCCGGAGGCACTTTGGGGTGGGTGTTCTCTGGGGCTTTCCAGTGTCCTTTGTGACTTAGAGATGTGTCTGCCAAGTTCTGGGCATGTCCTGCTGGCAGCTCTCACCCCGGCCAGGGCAGAGGAGTGAGGAGCCTGCAGAATTCCCAGTGGGAAAAGGCAGGGGGAGGGCAGGTATTTCTTATAATTTACCTGAATTAGGTTAGGATGAGCAGCACAATATCCTGGGTGATGAAGCCCATTGGCTGGTGGCAGTAGCTAAGCACACCCTTGATTAATGTACTCGTGGCTGAGCTGGGCTCTGATGCTGGTGATCCCTTCCAACTCCTCTGGTCTGCAAATGGGTCAGGAAAAATGACTTTATATTTGGTGGTGAAACATTCTGAGTCCACAGCAAAGAGGGGCAGAATCCTGTCACCCCAGAGTTCAAAATATAAGTGGTCTTGTTATCTGGAACTGTGAAATACAGAATCATGGAATGGTTTGGGTTGGAGGGATCTTAAAGATCATCTCCTTCCACCCCTTGCCATGAGCAGGCACACCTTCCACTAGACCAGGTTGCTCAGTGCCCCTCAATATATTGCTCCAAATGCTCAAATATTCCATATCTTTTTCCTAAAGAGACATTATATCTGGAATAGTTTCGTTTGACCGTTTTGTTTTCTTCCCTGGGGAATGTTTCTAAAGCAAAAATCGCACAGTGCAGGAACCTCAGGACGTCCATGGGGTTGTAAAGGTGGTGGCAACATCCCTCTTTGGGTTGGCAAAGATGTTTGAGGTCACCCACTGCTCTTCCTGTAGAGCCAGGAAAATGGAAACGAATCCCAGGGAAGTCCTGGCATAGTGGGTATTTTCCTGATGGTATTTTGTATGATAAAATATCCCAATAACAAACAGTTCTGGACAACACTGAGGTTTTCATACCTGTATGTGTGTCTAACTCCCAGTTAGGAAGGAGTTGCAAAGTTTGGATGGTGAATTAAAAAACCCTTTCAACACCCAGTTACTCCCTAAGGAAGAAGCCCAGGTTGGTCTCCCCTTGTGTGGTTTCACTGCTGGGTACAAAGTCACAATTCTGGGGGAATATTTGTGTTCTCCCTGCTCCCAGTGTTCCCACTGCTCTCCAGGGGCAGCAGGAATGTGGGCTCAGGCCCAGTTTTGTATTTATTTCAAGGTCAGTGAAACTCGAGGCAGATGGGGCTGGTGATCAGGCACTGCCTGCCCAGAGTAAACTCATTCTTGGTCTGTTCTGTGAATGTCCCCAGGGAAGAAGTTGAAGATGCTCTTTGCAGTGTCTGTGAGTGTAGCAAATGCTTATTAATCTCAGATAAGTAGGTATTTCTTTAGCAGGATTAAATAATAATAATAATAATAATAATAACAGCCTGCTATTTGGGTTTCTCGGGTTCAGTGTGTCCCACAACAGAAGTTGTGGCTGAGGTGATCTCCCAGCTACACCTCTATTATTATTATTATTATTATATTTATTATTATTATTGTTATTATTATTATTATTATTATTTAAACCAAATACAAAACATACCAGAAACCCACCCAAACTCTAACACATTATTCCACCTACCACGAATTTCCTTTAACATCAGACTTTCTTTTCCTTTCATTACAGCTGCTAAATAGATTATTCATGAGGTCTCTCACCAACACTAAACCATCACTCTCATTGTTGCAAGACCCTCATTGGTGTCACACAGATTTTCAGCATATGCCCATATCTGATTATCTGTGGAAACAACCTTTCAATGGGCCTTTTTATCGAGTCATTTTGCTGGTGAGCTTTGAGGGACTAATTTTAGTTTCATGACAGTAACAATAAGGTCAAGTTGTATTTCTGTCCCGCTTTTCACATCAGCAGACACTCCCCAGCCCTGCAGTCCCTGCTGCTGGAAGAGAGGCAGATGTAGGACAGCGTGGTTGTCACCAGGGAGTGGCCACGTCCTACGTCCAGCTCCCCATGGCAGCGCAGCTCGGGAGAGCCGGGGGTTGTTCCCAAAAAACAAGACATTCCCTGCTTTCTTTAACACATTTTTTATTTTTAACCAGTTGTGTTCCAAGGCTGAGAGGGGCACTGAGGGTGACAGACACCACAGGGGCAGTGAGGGCAGTCTGGAAGGTTCTGCAGTGCAGAATAACCAACGGTCATCAAAACTGAACCCCAGCTGCTGGATTTTCCCCAAATCCCTGGGATAAACAGGACCTGTGAGAACATCAGCCATCACACCTGTGTGTTTGAGCTGGGGTTGTTCAGCTTGGGGAAAAGGAGGCTCAGGGGGGGACCTTCTCACTCTCTCCAACCCCCCTGGAAGGAGATTGTGACCGGGGGGATCCACGTCTCCTGCCAGGCAACAAGTGCCAGGAGGAGAGGAAATGGCCTCTGTTATCTCAGTGTTGGGCTGTGGAGACAAACCCAGCATTCACACCCCTGCCTCGGTGTCCTTCTGCTCCCACATTCACACCCCTGCCTCGGTGTCCTTCTGCTCCCACAGGTGCCACGTGGGATCTCTGGTGTCAGAACCATCGTGACCCACAAATGTTCTCTGTCACTGTCATTTCCTGCCTGTTGCCAGTGCCTGGGTACTGACTTCAGCAGAAGGAACAGGTTCCCTGTGTTTTGTGATTTCTCTTGAAATAAGAGGTCGGTCAGATGTGGGTTCAGCTTCAGAGTAAATTGAAATTTATTCAGAACTGCCCCGACTGTCCCACAGAAGAAATGAAATTACAGTGTTCAGTAGTGAGGTGTCTCTATACTTTCCTTGTATCCTTTGGAAATTTTCACAGGTCGTGCTCCAGTAAACCTAGTTTTGCTTTTCAACTCAGTTGGAATTCCTGTTTCTTAAGTGCAGAAGAGGCTAATCATAGAGGAGAAAATAATTTGACTTGCTAATACTGGGCGAGAAAACATTTACTGCAACCACAAGTATTTTCAGGATGATGGAGTGTCTCATGCTCATGAAAGCTCGGCTCTGGCGACATGTTTGAGTAGGGAGGGCTGCACTTTCTAGCAGAGGAAACCCATGTAAGCTGTAGCAGGCAGTTCTCTGTATTTCTCCAAAGCTGGAGCAAAAAAATGTTGGCAAAGGAATCAAAATCCTCCTCTTTAGTCAAGTCTGCCACCAGGTTTCTTAGGCATGAACTCAGGAAAATCTTTATTAGGCATAAAAAAACCAGAGGAGGAGATGTGTCTCGCAGACAGAAGGTGCATTCTGAGGTTATGGAAGGGATGAATTATATATACCTTAAGTCAAGCCATGCTTTTCCAGCTATTCTTCCCTATGGTTCCTGTTTGGCAGCCAGAGCTGCAGTGAAAACTGGGAGTTCTGTTGGGTGCTGCTCCCCCCGATGACATCAGGGGTCAGTCATTAACATGCACCGTGGGAGTCCCTCCCATGCAGGAGGGTCCACAATGGGGTGGTTGTTGGCCTTGTTATCATAGTGGGGGCTCCTGTGCTCAGTCCTGCTGCCTCATGTTTAATTGAGAGATGGCAAAGCTGCTCCCAAAAATGCTTCAACTACTTGTATTGTATGACAAATGTGTTTTTCTTTTCCCCTCCCCGTGTTTCACTCCCCCCCCCCTTTTTTCCTTTTTGGATGAAAAAGCTTCATTTTCATTCCATATGAATGTCCTTGCTTAGCAATTGACTCCTCTTGGAAAAATCCCCAAACTTTTTTACCCTCTGTGTCCAGTGTTTTCACTCCAGGACAAGGGGGAATGGCTTCACACTGTCAGAGAGTAGGTTTAGCTTGGGTGGTAGGAGGAAATCCTTCCCTGGGAGGGTGGGCAGGCCCTGGCACAGGTTGCCCAGATAATCTGTGGCTGTCCCATCCCTGGAAGTGTCCAAGGCCAGGTTGGACAGGGCTTGGAGCAACCTGGGCTAGTGGAAGGTGTCCCTGCCCATGGCAGGGGGTGGAAGGAGATGATCTTAAGGGTCCCTTCCAACCCAAACCATTCTGGGATTCTGAGGTTACAAACTGCTGATGCTTTTGTTACCCCTGCAGAGGTGCTTTGCTGGGAGGTCACCTCAGCCACAGCTCCTGTTGTGGGACACACTGAACCCAAGACACCCAAATACAAGGCAAACAGCTCTTGCCAAACTTAGCTTGGCTTTGGCTTTATTTCTCTATTTTTTCTTCCCCTCTAAAAATACACTGAGCCAGTTAAAGCAGTAAATGGTTAAAGGGAACCTTCGGCCTCCTTCTGTGTTTTCTTCCCTCTCTCCAAAATTGAGAGAGCAGCACTCCTGGAAGGCTGATCCCGTAGAACATGTCAGGCTGCACTCCCCTCCCTGCCAGCCCTCAGCAGCACTGCCTGTCGTGCAGGCAGGGTGGGTGTTCCCCCCTCAGCCCCACCTGAGCTCCCCTGAGGGAGGTTTGGCTCTTTACCCTCCAGGCGTGGGAGCTCGGCTTGGGGAAACTCCATCCCGAGGAGAGATTAACTGATGTTCACCCGAGTATTTCAGTGTGTTTTGTTCTGCTGTTTCCCCTTTTAGGTGACAGCGAGATTGTAAATAATATGTACGAGACCGACCCCGATCTCCTCGCGGGCGAAAGCGCAGAGGAGGAAACAGAGGACAGTATAATGTCCCCCATTCCCGTGGGACCTCCGTCACCCTTCCCCACCAGTGAGGACTTCACTCCCAAGGAGGGCTCACCTTATGAAGCTCCCGTCTACATTCCTGATGACATTCCAATCCCACCAGATTTTGAACTCAGAGAATCTTCGGTCCCGGGGGCAGGGCTAGGGATTTGGGCCAAAAAGAAGATTGAAGTTGGGGAAAGATTTGGACCCTATATGACAGGACAGAGGAGCACATTAAAGGAAACAAACTTTGGATGGGAGGTAAGCGAGTGGAATGTGATCACCACATTCATTTCTCTTCTCTGCCAAGTGTTCCTGAGGCTGGACTGGGGCCTGGTGGCCCGGGGACGGGCGCGGTGACTTTGCCAGTGCCACGTTCCCCTCCGTCATTTCGTCCCCCCCCAATAACCTGAAGTGTTTAAAATCAGCAGAAATCCCTTTAAGATCCCTTCTTGGGCTACAAAAACCGCTCTGGCACCATTTTGGAAGGTTGGTTTTAAACGCTGTCGGGTCACTTCATCAAGTGCTTGTCATTCCGAGGTTGTGTTCGGGACTTGTCGCGGAGGAGGGAATGGGATTAGTGGCACCGTGTTCTGTCGTTGGGGGTGTTACCTTTGACTCCCAGCCCTGTCAGCAGTGCAGGGATCATTAACTGCTCAGAGGGAAATACCATGTACCCATTACCTGCCCAGATGTTCTCGAGTTCTTGTTCCGCAGCGAAGATGGAGAAATGTGAAAGTCATTTTTCCCTGAGAGCTGAACACAAAAAAAATGGTGCTCAAGAGGGAAAACAGCCCTATCCCACAACTCACATCTTTCTCCCTGCTTTTCTGGCCTTGTCCCAGGAGTCATCTCCATCTCTTCTGCTCCTACATTCTTGGTTTGAAAATGTCCGTATCCCTAATTATCCTGAAATACAGGATATTGTGGGAGCAGTGAAGCACAGCCTGGGAGTTCTGCTCTGTGTCACAGCCCTGTTCCAGCACACCCAGTGTCCATTACACACTGTGGAATTCCTTCTCTCCAGTCCCAGTGCCCATCCCAACCCACCACACCCCTGCTGCCATGGGACCTGCTGGTTGTTGGCCCAAGGAGGAGCTTTGTCTGGAGCAGCTGAGGCACAGAGGTTTCCCGACAGGACACCCAGGCTGTTGGACAGGGGGAGGCCTGTCCCTCAAAATAAGTGGGACAGGAGCTCAATTTTCCCTCCCTTTTCTCTAGCTGAAGCAGTGACTTGGCCTGTTTTCTCCTTTGGCCACTACTGATGTGAAGTGGTTTAGAAAACACTGGAGTACAGGGTGGGAGCAGCTCAGGATGGGTCTGGAAGTCTCACTGGGGGGGAAAACCAGCAGTGCAGTCACAGAAGCCCTGTTTTCTTAGAAACTGGGGTCAGAAAGGCCAGACTTTAGCATTAACATTTGAAATTGTGTCTGATTATATTTACACTCTTGATTGTGAAGTCAGAAATCAGCGAGCAGTTGGATTCAGTGAAGCCCAAAGAAGTAGGTCCAGATGTTTTTGTTTACTTTTCCAATGTGTCTGAAGTGCAGGAAACTGCAAAAAACACTTGTTATAAGAACCAAACTCAATTGTGTTTTGTCGCTCTGCACCAGGGAATGTCTGAAGAGCTGAAACCAGGGTTTGGTTGAATGACTGAGTGGGAAAGTTTCCTTTTCTTACTGTCTTAGGACAGGGGAAAGAGGGAAATTCAGCTCAGACTTTTAATTCCCTCTGTTCCCTCCAGTGACGTTCCTCAGAAGTTCATCTTGGTCTTGGCTTCTTTTGTGTGAATATCATTGCAGAATATTTAATTGGTGTGAGTGTATGAGTTTCAAGACATGGGTTTTTGGGGGAGAAAAACCCCTGTTAATGTGCTGGCAGTCCATGGTCTGGCTCAGGGAGGCTGCAGGTGTGAGGCAGCTGGAGATTCCCTGAGGAAGGTTCTGGTCACCCCGAGGTCTCTCTGAAGCTGGGCACAGTTTCTCTCTAGGAATGTGCAATATTGATTATTTGTAGGCTGCAAAGTGGAAGTGGCTCCTTCAGAAAGGCAAATTGCCTTTTTCTGACCCAAATATTGACAGGTGGCGTTGGTTGGTTTCGTGTACCTTTTTTGTTTGTTATTTTGTTTTCAGGCTGGTTTTTTGGACACAGTGCAATCCTCCCTGGCTCTTAGAAGTCAGATCCAGTTTGGGCAATGCAAATCTTTTTTTTTCCTGTGACCTTGGCCAAGCTTTGTCCTTGTGTTCTCTATTTCTGATAAAAGTTGGTGTTTGCATTCACGGTTTAAGAACCGTTCCCCACATCCCCTGGGCTCTGGGTGCCAGCCCTGATAGGAGCCCTTTCTATCAGCTGTTGGCTTTGTGACACTGTTTGGTTTTGTGGTGTAATTGAACAAACTTTCCTTCTCCGAGGCACTTCTCACATTTCAGCTGTTCCTTTGTCCTCTGATTTGGCCGGGACGTTTCACACCTCAGAGAAGGACTGTTTGTCCTCCATCAGGTGTCCTCAAACACTGTCCCCTCCCACCCTGACACTCTCTCTTTGGACCCTGCCTGTACCTGCAGATACCCCTTGAAGTTTTCCACTTCCCAGTGTGTTTAAAGACAGTTCAGGGACATGTTTTTAGTCACTCAGCACCTTCAGCATTTCACTTGGGCCCAACATCCAGGAATCCCTCCGTGTGCCGAGCAGAACTCATGGAACAAATCCTGTGTGGGAGTTCCTGAGCCATTCCCTTCGAGTGTGAGGTTGGAAAAGCCTGGAAGAGATGTTCTGGGCAGATTGCTGGGAAGCTGTAACTTGGGATATGTTTCCATCCTCTGTCCATGAAGTTGGGCAGGCAGGCAGATGGCAGCCAGGGGAAAAAAGGAAAGGGGAGGAGTTTTTTGTCACCCTGTAACTTATTGGCATTTGCCTCTGTGTGCTGTTTCTTCCAGGAGCGATAAATCTAACAAATCTGGGGATTGCAGTACCATGAGAAGTGTTCCTTCTGCACTTTGACATTATTTTTTTGGTCAGCATTTCTCTGAAACTTGGAGTTTTGGCTTGCAGTGACTTGTGGGTCAACTGCTGTTGTAAGACTTCCACACACAACTCCTCTTTTCTGGCCAGCTGGGACATTACTGTGATACCTGAATTAACCCTTCTATTGGTATTTGTACTTCAGGAATGATATCTGTTCTTCACACCCAGTCTCTTCTCTGTTCATACTTCCCAGTTGATTTCCTGCAGTTTGTGCTCTTGATAATCCCACTTTGGGGGGTGCAAACCCCACCCCACCCCCCAAATTCTGAAAACCTGGTGATCTTTTGTCTGTTTTAGTAGTCATCAGTCGTGCAGTTTTAACAGTGTTTGTACCTTTGCACAAAAACTTCTTGCCTTTTATCACAGTAATTTTGTTGTCAGGCTTTGACTAAGCTGAGAGCACCACTGGAAGTAGAACAGCTACAAGGTGAACGTTCCTCAGCACCATCTGTTTTGCTGGAAGCTGCTGGGTTTGTTGTTCTCTAGGATGTGCTTCACAATTAATGTCTGTTTTCTTCCGATATCTGTATTCTAGAAAAAAAAATCAAATAATGTTTTGGGGGTTGGAAAACGTGCTATTAAGGGCTTTGGTTTGAAAATGGAATTTCTCCCCTCTCTCCAAGCGTTAGCACTGCAGAAATAGCTTTCCCTTTTCAAACTCCAGTAAGGGCAGATTTGTGAAAATGAAAATAAAGCAGTTAATTGTACCCCAAGTCCTCAGGAAACACAGAGGAAAGTTCCAAACCTCACGTTTGGAGGCAGGGCCAGCTCTGTTTTCATGTGAACTGCTCTCTGCAGCCCTGGCTCTGATGTACAACATCCAGCTCCAGGAGGTACAAGAAGAATGTTATTTGCTGAAACTTTCAGGTTCACTCGTTGTTTCTCCCAAAACATCAATGGGGATGCAGAATGCTGTGTCTTATTTGCCAGATGTGTAGTTATTTTTATTATGGAGGTTTTTCCTTCTGGCCAGACAGGAGGGCCTGGGCTGTGACAGGGAGAGCACGTGCCCTGCTTTATCTGCAGCACAGCTTCACTATCTTCTTTCTTGATTGGCTTTGTGGAATATGCTTTAAAAAATATTCTTTAAATTAAGCCACACCTCTCACTGAAGGGCTTTTTTGGCCATGGGATGGCAGGGAGTGATTCATGCTGGTGTCACAGCTCAGTCAGATGTGTCCCCTCCCAGGGGTGATTCAGCAGGACACTGAGCTGGGGGTTTTCCCCTGGGCCTCAGTCCCTGACACTGCTGAGCATGTTTATCTCTTTTGATTCCTCAAAAGACACCACCCAACCCAAAAGCCTCGTGATTATTCAGTGAGATGTGACTGCATTTCCCCTGATGCTGTTACTCCCCTGCCTGCTGGCACAGGACACACCACTCAGAGCACCCCAAATAAATCACCCTGGGTTTGTGCTTTATGGCCTCTGAGACCTAGAAAAAAATAAAATAAAATGATTACATAATGATTTCGATCACTTTGAATAAATAATGGCATTTATCATAGTGCTGCTTATTTTGCTAATTGAGAGAAGAATGGGAACCTCATCCTGGAGGGAAGTTTAGCAACTGAATTGTAGGGAATTTGGAAGCAATGATGATTTTAGCTCAGTTTGCCTCACAAGGTAAATACCATTGATAAATAATTATTAGTTGCTCTGTTTTAATTTATATTTTAAGAGAGATTATTTGCTGAAGCACAAAGACTTCCCTCACACTGAAGTGTTGGAGCCAGGCTGCTCCTTTACACAGGAAAAATAAGTGCTTTCACTTCATAGTCGAGGGTGAAGATAGAAACTGTCCCATGGAAGACAAATAACTGTGGAAAAAATAGGAGCCGACAGCTCCGGATGGAGCAGAATTCTGGCTCCACATCTGGGCCAGTGGAAAACTGCTGGGTTTTGAACATGCTTTACAGTGTCAGTGATTCACAGCAGCTCAACCTCCCTGTTCCCACAAAATAGGAGGTTTAAGGTTTAGCACGAGGGTCTTTTTTGTTTTGTTTGCTTTTAGAAATGCTCATAAGTGCCAAGGGAAATTTACTTCCCATGTTCTGGCCTTAAATGCTAAAGGAGAATTATATTGTATTTCCTTGAGTCTTAAAAATACTAAAATATAT